CCACATCCACACTGACTCTGGACCACATCCACACTGACTCTGGACCACATCCACATTGGAATCTCTGTTCCAAACCTGGGGGGTCCATTTAAACCTCCTTCCTCTGAACCAGGGCTACACAAAAGCTGCGAACTAATTCTTCTCAGCTGACATTTCAGTTTCACTTTCTTTTTTTTTGCACATGTTCAGTTGGGTACTGTACGTTTGAGGAGAATAGCGTTGGCGGCGTGTTGATGTTTCAGTTTTGATCTTCACCTTTGTCTCAGTGACTTACTGTCGTTTTGATCCGGGCTCACGTGTGGGGTTACTGAATACCCTTGACCTTTTCACCCTGAAGTTAAGATTAGGAACAGCACAGACACTGACCTCAAACAAATCCTGGCCCCGGGTCTGGACTTAGACCTGAGTGTTAACACACACAGTGGGAGGGGTCTGGATTAGGGGCTTGGTAATAAAATAATGTTTAGAACCGAGAACAAAGTGTGAGAATTGACTCCAGGTTCTGACTGAGAGTGAAAAGAAAAAAGAGCTGGATTGAAATGTCAGTCAGATGTTCTAGATCCATTATCTGCAGAGCTCAGGTAGCCCACACACAAGTCACGTGCTGGTGTGTTTGTGTGTGTTGTATAAGTCAAGTTAGCCTATTGCAAAACTTTATCTCAGTCCAGTTCATTCACACACAACACAGAGAAAAAAAATGGTCTGGGCCACACAGCTGCTCTTATCTGACCCACATGCTGCACTCAAATTGGTCTTTATGTGTCCAGAATATGGGCCACATCTCACAGGTTTTGTTGTTTTGTTGACCCTGACAGACACATACCACCCATGCCTGGTATCTGGAGTGAAGACCACATTCTTATTGGAGGAGAAATAATGAGGAAGAAGAAGAAGAAGAACAAAAACATAAGTAGAAGAATGAGAGGAATAAGAAGGAGGAGAAGAAGAAAACTCCTCCTCCCTTTAGCACTCCCTCTCCTGGACTTTATAAAGACCAGCTCTGACTTCACTGCTGCTTTGACTCTTCACTCCCTGAATCACACCAGGATCCCTCCAGGATTTTCAGGTTCCTCCAGGATTTTCAGGTTCCTCCAGGATCTTCAGGTTCCTCCAGGATCTTCAGGTTCCTTCGGGACACGGTGGTTCCTGTAGAATCTGAAGACTTGTCTGAAGACTTGGTGTGAAGTTTTTGTTTTGTTCCAGTTTTTTTGCGGCTTACTTTTCCACACATCGACAAACAGTTGTAGAAAATGCAGCTAACAACAGTTTGCAGCCCCCGAGGATCAGCAGCAGTTTTTCTGATCCTGGTTCTACTGACGTGGAGTCAACAGGTCAGTCTGGTTCTGGTTCTGCTCGGCTTTGTGGATGTTCTGCTGATTTTGGAGAATAATATCTTCTCAGTTGAATGATTTGGAATCGTTTCTTTGTCTGCTAAAGTGGGTCAGAGTTTTTAGCAGGTCTATGTGTTCATCTCACTATTTCTAGCAGCTGACAATAATCTTTTATACATTTAAACATAAAGTTAAAGAACATTTTTATAATTTATGTTTTTATATAGAGTATTTTTTTAGAAAAATGTCAAAATTGAATTTTGGTTAGCTTCATTATTACGTTTTTTTCAAAGAATCTCTTGATATCGTTTGACCTTGTCTGGTTTTTGGTTTCATTATAAAATACATTTTATAAAGTTTACTGTCAGTAAAAACACAGTATTTTTTCCATCTGAACTTTTTAAAAAAAATCATAATCATAATGGATTATATCCCAAATTCAAATTCTCTCCTAACCATGTGTTTCCTGCCCTTCCTCTGCAGGTGTCTTCAGGACCACTGGCGTCTGAGACAAAGTCCAGCCCAGACCTCGGGCTGGACTCCAGGCCCCAGGTTCACAGAGTGGCACGGATGACGCCGCTGTGGAGGATCCTGAACAGCAAACCCTTTGGTGCCTACTGTCAGAACAACTATGAGTGTTCTACTGGGATCTGCAGGTACGTCTACTCTGACATTTGGATAATTCTGATGAACACACTCAGACAGTTTTCACTCATCTCCTTGTTCATTTTTCCTCAGGGCGGGACACTGTTCGGCCATCCAACGCTCACAGTCTGGTGCTGTAAAATCTTAAATCAATCTCCAACAAATCCTCATCGTGTCCTCGGTACAACCTCATCACGATGTCATCAAATCCTCATCGCATCACCGTCAAATCTCACCGGACTCTCATCGAATCATCATAATCAAATCCTCATTTCATTCTCATCAAAACCTCATGTCCTCCTTAAATCCTTTGCACATCAGGACTCTGTTACATCTTCATCTCATCCTCATCAAATCACCACAGACCACAACCAAAGAATTTGACCCTTGAATACCATCACAGAAAATTGACTCACATTATAAGAAAAAAAGAAGAAAAAACAAAAAGGAAAACAACAAACACCACAAATATGCTGAACATTCAACATCAATGAATGTTATCATGAATAGTTTATATTTAAAGGGAACATCAGTGAAGGATACTTTTATAATTTGTCCAAATAAACACGTTTGTGACAGATTAATTTTTATTTCACTATATATATGTTTGTTTTTCTCTGAGATGTTTTAGTGTTGTTCTTAAGTATTGCAGTAGAAAATGCACTTTTATACAGAATTGTCGTTGTACTGTTTCCTCTCTCTGTTCAATGTACTGTCAAAACTAATTAAAGCAGAAAAGAAACGAAAGGTGTTTTTTGTTTCATTTTTCAAGTTTCTTTTTTGTCCACCAAATAGACCATGGCATTAACTGTACATTTGCTTTTAGTTTATGTGGGTGCAGACGTTTATTATCATATCTGTTTAGTCGACATTCTAAATGTGTTTTATTTTATTTTATTACTCAATTCAAATTACTAATATAGTAACTGCTGAGCCCCTAAAGCAGTGGTCCCCAACCTCCGGGCCGCGGCTCAATTATTTCCGTTTTATTTATTTATTATCCGATTCTGAACTATCTTTTATTTTGAAAAATTACCGGATTCTCTCCGTGGTATCTGTCTATGACTCACTTCATACACGTCTTACCTACATCTGTTACCTATAAGGTGTTCTGGTCGGTGACACCTCATACATTACCGCTAAATTGAACCGCCCGAGCGAGAAAAATGAACAAAAACAAACGTCTTTGGTGTAAAAAAAAAAAAAAAAAAGGTTAGGAACCGCTGTCCTAAAGGACATGGTAAAAGTCTATTATTCCCATGTATGAAAATCGCCTGCGACTTTATTATAAGGACATGGCTGCTGGTTCGCTTTTTCACTCACGTCGACTCTACCGTGCTAACCTGACACCTTCTGGTGAGCACCAGAAACGTTATTTATTTGCCTCATAAGTTATAACAATAAAAAAATGAAAATAAAATGTTTAAAACTAAATAAGAAAATGATTTTGAACATTACTCTAAGACATAACATAAGCATATATACATATATATATGCACACACATATATACAGTAGTTGGGTGACGTTTGCGTTTCCTGTTGCTGTGGTCTTTTGTCCACTGGAGGGAGACAGAAGACCACAGAAGCTGCATTAACAGATTAAATCACAGAGGGTAGAAAAGGTCAAAAGAGAGAGCGCTGCATCAGAGACTTTTAATAAATACTTGTCATCTATTACACATGTATTTTTTAAAATTGAATTCTCAGTCAATACGTTATGTAGACATTTTCTGCTGGAAACAATGACTCCATTCAGCGGAGGTTTCCATAAAGTGAGAGAAAGTGTGAAAACAGATGTGATGATGTGGAGTGTAACGTTAATCATCAGTAACACTTTTATGTTCCTCTAACAAAAATATCTGGCACGTCTCGTCTTGATCTTAAAGGTCACAGCAAGGTCAAAGGTCAGTTCTGCTCAAAACAAGGACAACGTTAGTTCCACTGTCTTCATTCAACCGACAGCAGCATTTTAGCATGTTTACTCACACGACACATCATTTCCCTTATTCTGATCTAAACAATATTACTTGTTAACTAAACACAATTCCAAAAACAGCAACACTAATTAAATTAACTCTTAACTCAAAAAAAAATTAACTCTAATAATTCCAGAGGATTTTGTCTGGATATTTTGCTGGTGTTAATAATCCAGATATGAAAAAGTGGAGATTTTCCCAGTCAAAGTTCTGGGAAAACAACAGCCTTTACATCCTGAGGTGAAGCCTAAAAATGTAGGAACTTTAGCTGTTACACACACCCACATACACACACACACGCACGCATGCACACACACACAAACACACACACACACACACACTCTCATTCACTGAACGGCGACACCACACACACAAAGTAAAAGAGAGACTAGTCCAACTGTGCTCTGGGTGAAAACTGTAGTATCTGATTGATAAATACTGTAGTATCTGATGGGTGATAACTGCAGTATTTAATTTGTGTAATCTACAGCACCTAACAGGCGAGCACTGCAGTACTCGATGGGTAAAAACTGCAGTATCTGAAGAGCTTAATGGGATCTTTTTTTTTTTTTTCACTGAACGGCGCAGGAGCCGCTGGGCAGCAGGTCCTGAACATAAACGGCCACAGCCTTGGTCAGGTAGGTCATGCTGCCAAAACGGCCACTGGGGGCACTGTCATAGAGCAGTCGACATACCCCTGTGGACGGGTCTCTGTCCAGGATGTGATCCTCTGCTCCCAGGTCCTTCTGCAGATGAGAATGAGGAACACTGAGCTGATTCCTGAAGGCACATGACCTCTGACCCAAAATGAAACACCTGTTAACGTGTCAACCAGACAAAGCTGTAAAATGGTGACCTCTGACCTGGTCTTTGTAAAACATGTCGTTGGCCAGGTGGACAATCTTCTCCACATGGATGATGGAGCCAATGGTCTGGACGTCCACGTCGGCCAACATGGTCAAGACAAGGATGGCCTCCACGAGCAGCTGCCGGTACTCAGGCTGAGGAACCCGGTTTAGAACCGTTTCCACATGGACTGAGAACTTTATCTCAGCAGCGGTCATCTGTGGAAATGAACAGAAAAAGGTTTGTTTAGAACAGAGTAGAAACATCTGAGGAACCTGTGAACTGAGCTGAACATCTCACCTCTCTGGTGGTCGAAGAAGGAAGAACAAATCCTTCGATGGAGAGACCATGACACTGGAGAAGAGGTTGAAAATCAAATCTCTTCATCTAAGACTAAATCCAGTCTGGTCCGGCTCCAGCTGTTCACACACAGGCACTCACCTTCTGCAGGATTTTCCACACCTTCTGGTAGAAGCCGACAGGGACTCGGTTCAGGGCTCCATCCAGACGCCTCCTGCGCAGCCACTGTCCCTGTCTGGTGTCCTTGGAAACCGGAATGTTGTCGGGAATGTCCAGAGACTCGATGGAGGGCAGACGATAACGCTGCGTCAGGGAAAAAGATTCAAGTAAAGAAATAAATCAAATTCATTTTTAGATGCAGCTTAGTCTGGGTTTTGGAGAGCAGCGCCCTGTGACCAGGAGACAAGAGTTTACCCCGGAGTCAATGTTGTCGACGTCCAGAGACTGAGATCTGATTCCCTGGAGAGGAGAAATAAAGGTAAACAACAAATGAAAAAAAAACCCAAAACATCCACCTGTGGTTTGATTTCACATCCAAATGTGTGAGATTAGAATAAACAGAAGAAGTGCAGACAGATGGCGCTGTGACCTGAACAAATACAAGAAATGACAAGAACCAAAGAGAACAGAGAAACGTCAGACACAAGAGTTGAAGCAGTGAGTTCAGATTGTTAATCTGGGATTATTTAACCAAATCCAGGAGTTTAGGATGCATTCAGGGGTTTCTGGTCGTCTTTTATCTTTAACAATGTTAAACAATGTAAATTAGCATAGATGAAAGGATTAGAGGAGAAACACGTCAAGCAGATAAAAGTCAACCTTTACAATTCACACAGACAAAAGTCAATTCACTTCAATCATCAATCAGAAAGAAAATCCAGTTTGATTCTGATTTCTTTTTAAATGTTAGACGTCGTCATCACCTTACGAGGAGTCAAAGACAGCTCCGACTGGAAGAAAGAAAACCAAAAAGTCACGATTAGTGTTCTTCCTTTTGACTGCAACAAAGGATTTCAGACAAAGAAGAATCAAGTTGTCAATAATTAACATCAAGTCACCAATAATTCATAATAATTGTTATGCACACACTGACCCACGCACACACACACACACACACACATTTCCTTGTGTGTGAAAAGGTTTGTTTTTGTGTCCCAGATTAGGATTAGGATTATTTGTTTGTTTTCATCATTTAATCTGATTCTTTATCGTCACCTGACTGGTGGGAGTCACCGACAACGTGCGCTCCAGCTGCAGACACACACACACACCTAAGTCAAACTGTTTACATCTGCACTGTTGTTCTGCAGTTAGAAAACGTGTGTGTGTGAGTGTGTGTGTGTGTGTGTGAGAGAGAGTGTGTGTGCGTCAGGCGTACCATCTTCATGTCACTCTTCAGTTTGCTGATCCCTGCTCTCTCACTCTTGGTGGCTCCAGTGTTACCCAGCTGATGGATGGAGATGGCTGGACTCACTCCTGTGTCCAGGTCTCTCACTGACAGACACACATACACAACAACACACACACACATGCACACAGACACACACACACACACACAACACTAACATTTAGTTTGAACGCTGGGTTTGATTAAATATAACATATATTTATTATTCAGAGTTCTCGTCTTTGGTCTTGATGACATTTCAGCAGAGATAAAACAGTCAGATAACTTAAAGGAACAGTTCACATATTTTCACTTTTCATTTTACAGCTGCTGTGACGCGACCAGAACACTGCAGGTTCTAATCCCAGCCTGCCCGGGGCACTGAAAACATCTTGCTCTCCCAGCTGCACCTCAGAGCATGCTCAGTGGTCTCAAGAACCTGATTGGTTGAGAGGAAAACAGGTGACATCACATTTTCCATCTCACGATGATGACTCACCGCTGCGCTGGACTCCAAACTCTTTGCCGCTCAGTATGTGATGTAGGAGATTCTTCAGTTCCGACGGACTCAGACTCATCAGGCTGTCTGTGGCTTCTGCACCTGTGCACACACACACACACACACACACACACACATAAACGCAAGAAGTGTTTCTTGCCTTCTGTTCAATGTTGGAGCTACATTTTTTTTGATTGAGGCTAAAGTGTAAGTAGTAAAATAAATGTCTCTAGTTTCTATAACATATGTTGTTTCAGCTTTTTTTTTTTCAACAAAAACGTCCTGTAGATTCATGCTGCCTCTTCACTGTGCTTTGTTTTTACCTGAGCAGTTGAGCGACTGAGCCAGTTCAGTGGCCATCACCTGGATGATGAGGCCGATCCGGAGGCGGAACATCTCACTGAACAGACTGGGCTGAGTCCTGATGCTCATGGCCAGGTACACCATGATCTCCTGGAGAAAAGCAGAGGAGATGGAGATGCAGGCTGATGTGGAGGTGAAGGAAGAGGAGCAGGAGGAGGAGGAGGAGAAGGAGGAGGAGGAGGCTCACCTGTGTCAGGATGGCCACACTGATGTTGTTGTCACTGGCCTCGTCGATCAGAGCAGCCAGTCGGTCTGGAGGGATGGGGGCTGTGATGGTTTTCTCCCTTGGTTCAGGGGGGAGACCAACTGTCAGGTGCTTCTGGTGAGCCAACAAGTCAGAGCAGGCCTACAGAGAAATGAGAAGAGAGATCAGCCGCAGAGAACAGCCTACAGAGAAATGAGAAGAGAGATCAGCCAATCAGAGCAGGCCTACAGAGAAATGAGAAGAGAGAGCAGCCAATCAGAGAACAGCCTAAATCAAAGCCGAGTAAAAATTTGTATTTAAATATGATATTTGTGTCTAACATTAAACAAGCTTTGGCCTCACTGTATTTGACCCCCAACCAGAGTTAGTGATAACATAACTTAGTTTTTTTGGTTCTAAATGTTAGTGATCTTTATGGAAGCCCATTTCCGGGAAAAAAAGAAAAGATTCTTAAGTCATAATCATGAAATATGTTATTATGAAATACCGTCCAATTACTGTGAATTAGCATCTCATTATTTTAGACATAAGAATCTATTATTTTGTCAGAAGTGGTGGAAATGGGCTTCCATAGATCTTTGACTTATATTTTGCCAGTATCTTGGCCTTATTGTACTATTGTTTAGACAGATGTTTGAATCTTTTTGGCTTCGGAGTATTTTCTTTAGCAATATTTAAAATGCATTATTTGGTTGATGGTAAAAAATGTTGACAAAGTTCTTCATTTCTGTGCTCAGCCAATCAGAGCTCAGGAACAAATGATGCAGCATGAGCAGCAGAATGTGGAGCAGCAGGAAGATAAGAATGTGTGTATATGTGTGAGCATGTGTTTTTACCGAGTCCAGCTCTTCCACCTTTTTCCTCAACATTCCTGAGATCATCCTGACCAAACCCCACTGCTTCAGCTGCCCCACCTTTTCATACAGATCAGTGAGCAGAGAGCAAACGGTGGAGCCTTTACCATGGAGCTGAGTGTCCCAGTCCATCCCTCTGACAGAGAACACACACACACACACACACACCTGTCAGTTTACTGTGTGTGTTTTTTGGGTGTGGGTGTGTCTGCCTGTGTAGCCTCTCACTTGTCTTTGAAGAGGATGTAGAGAATATCAGCCTGGTCTTGGAGACTCTGAGTTTCCTTCAAAAGCTGCACCAGAGCCACGTGATCCACGGCTCCACTGGCATCTGTGGGAATGCCGCTCCCAGCTGCCCCTGTCACATCCGGAGTCTGGAAGACAAACCTGAGAGATTATTACTGAAGAAAATATTACCGTCTGCATCTGTATTTTACTGTCAGAACATTTTGTGACTTGTTCTAGAAATTCTTTAGGACTAATCTCACTGACACACAATGACCCACAGGGGTCAGCGGTGAGCCAGCAGCTCTTGTGTTTCTCAGAGCTAAAATCACTGATTTTCTCCATGGACTTTGGTCTGTGAGCTAAAATCACTGATTTTCTCTGTGGACTTTGGTCTGTGAGCTAAAATCACTGATTTTCTCTATGGACTTTGATAGACACTTCAGTTTATATTTTTTACCTCTGTGTCGAGATCTCTATAAAAATTTAATCTAATTTCGTCCTGAAGTCACAACCAAACTACCTGTCACTGTTCTTGGTTTATTTTATTCACGGAGACGCAGACAGAACTACTGCAGCAGCAACAAACAAAAAAAGATCGAACCTGGGTCTGTTGTGGTTCTGAAGATTCAGGGAGGTTCAGATTCAGTGACAGATGATGTGAGCGAAAAAGTTTGTTTGGTAGGTACATGTTCACATCTACACAAACAACAAACAGTACAGGATCAATACGTTTGTTATTTCTAACCCAAACAAAGTCCCGACTTTTTATCCGACTGCTGAAATGATCTTAACCTCCAGCAGGGGGTGTGAATGTGAACGTGTGCCAACTCACTCTGCACATTCAGGTCCTGAGCTTTGCTCATTAGCGTCACCATCTCTTTAGTTTTAGTAGCGGCGGCCTTGAAGCGGCCCAGTCCGCCCGCCTGAGGTTTGGGCTTCTTGGGAGCAGCGTGGGCCAAGAGGTGGTCCAGGTACTGGGCTAGATCATCTGCCTCTGGAGTTGGAGTCCGAACAGGAAGAGAGTGAAATCAGTGAAATCAGTTTCATGTAGAACCAACCTTCAGAGCAGGCAGGGTTTAAAACTGAGGATCTCAGCCTCATTTACCAGAAACAACTTTGATTCTGTTCAGTTTTTATCCTCATTAAAATGTAGAAATACGCTGGAGTTTGTTTCTGGTAAATGTTTTCCACATGCACACACTTCCAGCCCAAAGCCTGAATTAAACTCTGACACAGAAGCTCTTATTTGCCGTTGGATTAAATTATCTTGTCAGATTTATATATAAAAAAGTTATTTTGTGTCACAGTCCAAGTCGAGGATGTTGGGTTGCACAGAGGATGCCAAGATGAAACAGGAAGATCAAAGTTTAACTGAACTGAATTAAAGATTTTTCATCTTTTTATTGAGCTTTCATTTCTCAGGCAGGATCCTTCAGAGGTTACTGTACTGTGAGATGAAAAACTGCTTCTTTTTTTTGATGCAGCCGAGTTTCCTGTAAGAAGTGGGTTAACAAAGGAACACAGACCTGAACATACATGTCACAATCATAATATGATCGTCAGTCATAATAAATCTCATCATGACAATGATAAAACCCTGTTTCATGTCAGAGTATTACGACTAGAGCGGCAGCAGAAAAGACGAGAGCATCGGTGGAAAAACAAAGCTTTTACTTTTAAATGAACTCAAATATACTGTATGTTTCTAATAATCTTCCTCAGTTTTTCCACAGTCTACGTCGTCCTTCCTTCAGGCTGCTGCTGCGCGTGGTTTGCATTCTTACCATCGTCACAGCGAAAGTCATGCACCTTTCCATCGTCGCTACCTTCATGACTCTCTTGGCTGCTGGCAGTCTTACCGTCCATGAAGCTGAGGTGAGCAAAACAGGAAGTGGTGAAGAACTCCGACAGCTTCCCTGTCTGGATTCTGCCGGACAAAGAATAAGAGATAATTAAAGATTCAGGTAATAATAATAATAATAATTTAAATATGCAAAAGTGTAACATACTATAATTTTTGCAGATATAATGGGTTCAATAAAATTATTATTATTAATAAATTATCAAATTCTAATCAATACTGAATACAGGAGTGGATAAGGCATGGTTTTTCAAAATAAAATACCATGGAGGCTAGTGTTATCAAAACAACAAAATCTAAATTAAAATATTTGGTTCTTTCTGTGTGACCCAGTACCAAATGAACAATGGCCCAGTTCTGTTCCCTGACCCAGTGGTTGGGTTCCCCTGCATTAAGTGCAATCTTAAATATGTATTTGTCAAATGAAAATTGCTTTTAATGGAAGTAAGTCTGAGCAAGATATTTTTAGGATTATTACCCAAAATGCACCAGTAACTGTATTAAAAAAGACTAGGGACTTATTTCATGTAACCCCGTCAACTTCATCAGGCTGAACTCACCTGGCTCCTCCATAGTAGCCATCTTGAAGTTTCTTCAGTGTCGCCAGAACGGCAGGGTCCAGGTTGGACTGGTCTTCAGCTAGAACGGGAACGAACACACACACACAGACACACACAGACATTTTTTTAAGTTTGGTCAAAGATAGTCTGAGAAACCTAACCACGTTAGACTGTGTTTGTGCGTCTTTACTCAGCATGGTCTGTGAGACAGGGAAGGTCACCGTGGGTCGTCCGGTCATCCTCCACCTGGAGGCCAGGTAAGAGATCTCTGTCCTCAGCATCTCCACGATCATCTTGTTGTCCAGGGCCATGTAGAACTGCTGATGGTCGATGAACTGGAAGAACACACACAGACTGATCCAACAAGTCATCAACCAACTTCACTTCTCCTCCTTTTTCTTTTCCTTCTGCTCCAACCTGAGGTGTGAAGGAGAAGATAGTGTTTCTGATGATGTAGAACTTGGAGGTTCCCAGAACTCCGATTCTCCTGTATGGCCGTCCAGTCAGACCCAGTCTGGGATTTCGTCCTGGGAAACGGCAGGAGGCTGTCAGTTAAAATGACCTCTGACCTTTGACATGATTCTTATTTTAGTGACTATTTTTTTCACCCAGCCTGGCGTAAATGTGGCTCAGGACCCTGGAGGGCTGTACGTGGATGGGATGGATGTCGGCCACCGTCTCCACCTCGATGCCGTTCTTCAGCAGCAGCTGTTTGATCTCCTCCGTCTCGGCCAGGATAGACACTGCAGGAGGAAAAGAGGCCAGGATCACAGACCTGCCCCACGTTAACGTGTGTATGTGTTTTTGTTCCTCTTCACACACCTTGAACCACCACGTCAGGCTTAGGGATGGTGGAGAACCGACGGTTCAGAGGGTCAATCTCTCCAGGAGCCAGAAAACCCTGAAAGAAACATCAGGCAGAAGATAGAACAGTCCTCTACGGACCACTCACTCTCCAGGCCCACCCTGACACTAGACACTAAGACAGTGGTTCTCAAACTGTGGTCCGCGTACCGCCGGTGGTACACGACCGCTCTTTAGTGGTACGCGGGGAAAAGTCATATTTTTCACATTGACATTTTCAACTGAATAAATCTGAAACATACCATGCACAATTAATACAACATTTAAACATAAACATCTTTCTAAACAGCTCTCCTGTGGTGGAAGCTAACAGGGAAGGCCTCTGCTGCTATATTCTAATGTTGGTCATCATGGTGGTACTCAGAGAGATCAAGGTTTACTCAGGTGGTACAGAGTAGAAAACGTTTGAGAACCTTACCTCCTAAAACGTCTTACCTCAGACAGCAGTTTTCCCAGGATGTAGAGAGACTGTCCCCACCTCAGAGGACACTTTCCCAGGGGGACTCTGTCCACCGAGTGAGGATGCAGGTACTCCTCCTCCACCTGCAGCAGGATCAGCATCAGTCTAATTAATATTTCATTAATATCATCTAGGAAACAATATCATGAACTAACCCTAATTCTAAATAAGCGTCGCAGAAATGACACTGAGAGTGGGATAAAAGTGTGATCTAAGTGGAAGAAAACAATGGCTGTAAAATCAGCAGACGTTTGTTCCAATGAAAAAGAGCATTCCCACAGAGAATATAATCCTAATCTCAGGCAGTCATATCATCACCTTGTCAGCAGGAGCGCTGTAAAGTTCAGGGAGCAGACGAATCCCATCCTTCTGTTTGATGAGGATTCCCTCCAAAGCATCCTGATATTCCTGGACCTGGAAGAACACAGATTACTGTCAAAATAATCTGGAATAACACAAATTATCCTCATCCTTGGACCTGTAGCAGCACAGGTCATCTTATTCTGGACCGTCATAATCCTGGATCTAAAACAAAACAGATTCCCTTCATCCTAGACCTGGAATAACACTGTTTATTTCCATCCAGTTCCTAGTATTCCGCAGCCCATCTTTATTTTTGACTTGGAACAATACAGATAATCTTATCATGGAACTGGAATTAAACATTTTATCCGAATCCCAGACCTGGAATAACACACAGAGCAGATCATCACCATTTTGGATTTAGAACAACACAGATCATTTTGAAACAGCACAGGTCATCTTCAACTTTGACCTGGAACAACACTGACTGACTTCATCCTGGACCTGGATTAACAAATATTATCTTTTCCTTGGACCTGGAATATCAATCGTCTTCATCCTGGTTTTGGAATAAACCCCTTTCATGAGATGCCTCTCTCCTGTCTCACAGACTGCTCTGTAACCACAGACCTGTTCAGGGCTGTTGATGAAGATTCCGTCCAGGATCAGGTAGGTCCAGAAAAGTGGCCACTCACACTCGATATTCTCAAAGAGCTTCAGCTCTGCTGACTCGTAGTACAGTCGGTTTGGATCCTGGACAAAAAAACCCAGATGATCTGATTGAAAACAACAACAGCCATGAAAACATCAGGTAAAAGGGAGTTGACACCAGAACATTCACCTCTTTGGGAGTTTTGTGTCCGTCTCTGAGGAACCGGCAGCAGCCGTATCGACCCTGAACAAGACAACGACAGCAAGTTTACAGAGACACTGACAAAAGGAGGTGAATGAGGAGGTGCCAAGACACACTTGCAGTTTGGAGATGATCTCCTCCTTGGTCATGTTAACGATGCTAATGTCCTCCACAGCAAAGGCCGGGTAGGAGATGATGGCCAGGACTCCTGCGTCCACCTCCTTGGATATGGAGGCTCTGGGTAACATGGAGGTGAGGATGGACTGGAGGGAGAGGGTGTGGGGGCGGGGCTTTCAGCAAGTGCTAAGGATGACTTCCTGATATACAATACTGTGTGTGTGTGTGTGTGTGCACGTCACCTGGCAGTGCTGGATGTCGTCAGCCAGAGCGTGAACCACAGATCCTGGTCCTCCTTTGGCTCCAAACAGGTTCAGATCATCCAGAGCCTCCAGAGCAGCCTGAGGACACACATGGGTCATGTGACCTTCAACCCTTGAACTCTGATGGGCCAGGTGCAGGACCACTGCTGACCAGTGTGTGTGTGTGTGTGTGTGTGTGTGTGTGTGTGTGTGAAAGAACAGTCTCAGGGGAATCCTTGTTTGAATTCAAATGTGACAGAGAGAACCGATCTTTGGTTTCTTTTGGTTTCCTCAGTCAGCAGGTGTTCGTGTCATGACCCTGATGTTTTTATCTAAAAGACTCAACTTTACCGGTTGATCAAGTTTAAGAATCAGAACCAGTGTCTTTGTCTGTCTTCCAGGTATGGACAGAGTGCAGGGTTTGTCAGTGTGTTCACAGGTGAGTGCTGAGCCAAGAACAATTACGATGCATCAGAAAAAATGTGGTCAGACTGAAAAGTCCTGCTGATGATGTTCCACACACACCTGCCAAATATGAGCTCACATCTACTGTGATAAAGTTCAGGCTGGAGAAGCTACAGAGGGACCAGCTGAGGGTCAGAGATTCCAGGTAATCTCTCACATCTGTGGCCAGAGGTCAAACAGGTCCTTGACCTATCGTTGTGATCTGGACCCCGGTCACAGCAGAGACTTCCTAAAGACTAATACCTTGCTGACCTTTAGCGATGTGCCTGTGACCTATGATCTTTGACCATTTCAAGTACAAAATCTACAATATAGCCAGAGCAGAGCGAAGTGGTCGATAAAGTTTTGTTTAAACAGATCTGAACAAATTAAAAATGTCTGTGTTCTATGATTTTTAAAAACATCTGATAAAGTAAGAAGTTTCCTCCTCCAGTTTCCTCCCAGAATGCAAAAACTGGTCCCCAATGACTGCTAGAACTGGCTGCAGCCAACACGCTCCGCCCCACCCCCAACACACACCACCTCAAACAGGGTTAGCTGGTGGGAGATAGATGGCTGTTATGTCTTATTTGATTGTGTTTTATGTTTTAAACCATTGAGAACAGCAAATGAAATGTGCCTTGTTGTTAATGACACTTAGTTTTGGGCAGTGGTGGCTTAGTGGTTAAGGAAACGGACTTGGGTCCAGAAGCCTTCAGGTTTGAGTCCACCAGCTGCCAAGTTACCACTGAGGTGCCCTGAGCATGGCTCTGTCCCCACACACTGCTCCCTGGGCGTGTGTGTCTGTTATTTCAGGAAGTCATTCGTGGAGGTGGACAGACAACCTGACACCTGCTGTTTTCTGCAGGGCCAGAGCAGCAGTGTCTCAGCAGAAAAGAAAACATTTATATAGTTGGCACACTGACAGTGGACATGACACAGCCGTTTATTCTTCAGAGGTAAACATGGTGTGAACAGCCAGAATAAGTGAACTGCCCAGCAGGACGACTGACGTCTGCTGGCTTCACACCACACTCTTCATACACTTTCCTCTGTTGGTCTACATGTCCAAGTCGTCGAAAGATCACAGTGAATGCAGGACTGCAGAATTGAAGAGGCCTCTTGGATGAGCGGTGAAACGTCTTTAAAAAAAACCCCTACTACGTCCAGTTGCCCTCCATGGAACTATTTTTAGATCACGGTAAATGTCACATCAGTCAGCAGACACTTGTAACCTTTAACTTTGACCTGGAGCAGTGAGTCTCACTCATGAAGCTGTCTGTGATTCTAACAAAGTTCTGCTCACACTTCCTGATCACGGGAAGTAGAAGTAGTTATTGCAAAATGTGTGTGTGTGAAAAGGGTGTGTAGGTTCACCTTGGCCATTCCTATGGAGCTGGCGTTAATCTCAGTGATGCCCTGGTTGGTTTTGTCACCTCGTTCCCACATACCATAATCCTGTGAGGACCAAACACTGAGTTTAAGGTTTGTCAGTAGGTTTAAAGTTAACTAGTCACTAGTAGTTCAATTAACTATTAGGTTTGGTAAATAAAAACAAAACAATGAAACTTACTGCCACTTTGTAGGCTGTCTCTATGTAGAACAGGAGATTCTGGACCACATCCACCTCGTCCTGAGTGTAGATGATGTGAAGACCTGTGACATGAAGCCAGTCCTTCATTAAAATGTTACACAATGATGTACATAAGAGCTCAAAGACGAATACAGGACAAAAGTTCAAAAACATTCATTTCAGCTGACAGACAAAGGAACAGAGGGGAGAAACTGTTGTGGGACTTCCTGACTTCACTGTTTGGCTTTGTTCAGATTCACATAAGGTATCCAATCTGACCACAGGAGGCAGCAGTGGGTCATCAACTGCTGTGTTCCTGTGAGCTAAAATGACACCTATCTTCTATAGCCTTGCGTTGTGATCAGTTAATTATGTCGCAACAAAGACATGCTGAATGAAAGTGATATGTGAGTGTGAGAGAAGCTGAGGGTGACCACATTTTTCAGGTATTGTTTCCAGTAATCCAGCATCAGATAAAATGAAGATGAACATGTTTTCTGATCATGGCTGAATGGAAGGCGTGACACTGTGGGAGGAGCTCTTACATCTATATATGTGGATTCTTGGAACAAAGTGAAGGATAAACAGTGAAGATGGCTCTTCAACACTTTGTCTCGGCTTTCACTCTGACCTGCCTTCTCTTATCTCCAGGTAAAGAAAACACAGTTTTTTATCATTTTAATCATCAAACTGAAGACTGTTGAGAATGGAGGACGCTGTCTTTATGTCTGTCTCTCTTTACTTCAGTAGAACACACTTAGGTTAGCTATGATCTGTTCTCTTTACGACAAGAAAAATATGAAGAACGCTGACAAAGACAGACTGACACTGTTCCCACACAGCACTCATGATGGTGGATGGAACACTTGTTTATACAAAACACGGCAGCAGTCGAATGCATTCTGGGGTTGGTTGAACATTAGGACAGCGGGGATTTAAGTCAGGTCAGAGTTTCAACAGTGTTATCTGAGTTAGACTGGTTAACACCTATATAGTAAAAAGACCAGGAATTCCAGTGACAATGAACTAATATATTTATTCTGCTTTCTGCTAACTGTTAACGCCTCCTTCACCCTCACCTCTCTCTGTTTGTTTTTTCAGGCTGTCAATCAGAGATGGGTGAGTCAAACATTACAAACATTTGAAATGGAACACAAGCAGACTGGTAGAGGATATCAATCCTCATTTTTGATGGAATTTGATTTGACTGCTTCAGTGGCAGTGTTTGGTTGGAATCAAAACCAGCACTAAAACCTAGATCTGATTAAACCCACATTGGTCTACGTCTTACTGTATTTCTCTGGCTGTGAGATGGACTCCACCCAAAGAAAAGTTACATTTGTAAACCACTCACACTTATCCAGACCAAAACCTACAAAGAAAATCAGTGATTTTAGCTCACGCAGAAAACAGTTGTTGGTTTGTTTGGTTCAAACCTTGGTTCAAAGTGACTTTGGTAACACACATTGACCACAGGAGGCATTCTGAAGAAGAATGGTTTAAATTGGTTCCATCTTATGAAACCGGACCTGGATTATTATAGTTGGTAAAATTCTGGGAACATGTTTCTTCTAGAATGTGGCATTACTCCTCTGAACAACACAATGACTGGAGGAGAGAACATTCCAAGACAATGGCCCTGGCAGGTGTATATAACACAGGGTTACCCATGGAGCTGTGGAGGATCTCTGATCTCTGACCTCTGGGTGTTGTCATCTGCTACCTGCATCAACAATACTATGTGAGGAACCCTTCAACGTTCTGAAAACGATCATAATAATCACTATTGAGTTTGCCACTATGGTTCCCTTTCCATAAAACGTAAATTTAGCAGCTACCGTAATTATTCAAACTAAAATCAATTGTTGCTGAAAAATATAACATTTTTCTTTTCCAGGTATAATGGAAGCATGATGCATGTTTATCTGGGCGGCCCTAATAACACAGTGGCACGCAACGTTACCAGCATCACTTTCTATGACGTTACTGAGAGTGGAAACGACATTTGTCTTTTGAAACTGGAGAGTCCTGTGGCGTTCACTGACCATATTCGACCCATTTGTTTACCCACAAACAACAGCAGTTTCTACACCGGGATGCCCGCCTGGTTCACCAGCCAGTATTGGAACGGTAAAGTCTTTTTTGGTCCTTGGTTAGAGCAGAACATTGTCAATGTCTTCATACTTACAAAGAATGGAACATTGTGGTGTTTGGAGAATGGTGCTTCTGTTTGGGATGTTATTAACACTGTTGATTTGACCTCCTGTCCTCAACAGTCAATTGGAACCTACACCTCTCTATAATGGGACACGACAGGTGTGAGTGCTACAGGAATGAAAACATCTCACAAAACACAATCTGTGCTCAAGGTTATGTAAGGGTGAGCACCATTCACTGTTGACATCCAGTCTTTTGTTTGCTTTCAGAAAATGATCACTACCCATCATGGAAATAATCTGTTGATTTAAACTGAGATTCTCATCTTCAATAAAAACTGGTTTTGGTCAAATTAGAGGAATGCAAAGTACAGGAAAATGGAAGGAAAACAGGTTTCTTAAACCTTAAGCAGAGGAGACCCCCGCCACATCCACCACTGAGGTCACAATTCTATCCAACCACATAGTGAACTGGCCCATGTCATTTCTTTGAGCCAAGTTGGAGCTTTATTCCAACAGATTGACCCAGGATTAGACAGGTCTTTGGCCACTGCCTTTACCAGAACCTGCTGATGTTACAGAGACCAGCAGTTATTCCTTGGTCAATGAGGAGTCCTGACTTTCCTCCACATTAGTATAGAAGTCAGAGTGAACATTTAGGGATAAAAAACATAAATTCCTGTCTCTGCTCACTCTCCCTGTTGTCCTCCCTCAGATGAGTAACAATGGAGGACCGATGATGACCAAAGACCGGTATGGAACCAATGTGTGGGTCCAAGCTGGAATTGAAAATGGTTCATGGGGGATTTACCAGACCTTCATCTCTGTATCCTTCTATGAAGACTGGATCAAGGAGAAAACTATGGGGAACCAACCAGGCTTTGTCACTGTCAACTCTGATGGATTTGATCCAGACAGTGACTTCTCCTGTGAAGACTACAGTGTGTTTGCAGGTGGAGAGAACCTGGTTCCCATCTCTCACTTCATCTCACTCTCTGTTCCTCTGCTCTTCTTCTATCTGCTGCTCTAAGATGACAACTAGAAGCAGACCTCCTCCTGTCCCTGCACTCTCTGACTCTTTGTGCAGTTTGATCAATCAATAGAATCACTGCTGGGATGTGGGTTAAATTACAGACAAAACGCTGGTGAAATTTTGACAAGAAGTGTGCGTGTGACACTGAGAACTGTCTGGAACTGTGGCTGAAGTCAGTGTCCTAACACAGCAGAGAATAAAATCGTTGACCACGACTGGACTCAGTGTCTGTGTGTTGTTTGTGGATCAGCTCTAATCACAGACTCTCCATGAAAACACAGTTAGATTGATATATTCTGTGACTGGGGATTTTCCTCTGTTCACTTTTTTAGCCAACGATCAACAGACATTAACAACAGGAACTTAGATTTAACTATGCACTCCCCCGCACCAGTCCATAAAGAATCGGTAAATTTAGCTTGGTCCAGCTTGGTCGCTGGTCCACTGTTGCCTCCTGTGTTGCCTCCTGTGATCAAACCGAGTCACTTGGTTAAATCCAAACAAAGAAAATCAAACAGTATAGTTACAACAGAGGTCCTATGAGCTAAAACTACAGATTTTCTCTACGGTCTTGGGTTGTGAGCTAAAATCAGCTATTTCCCCTTACAGCAAAGTCGTTGCGTAACAGTACACGTTAGTGTGAGGACGAAGCTGAAGGTGATGACCTAATATTTCAGGTGTTGTTTTCAGTAATTCATCATCAGATGAAATGAAGATTAACGTGTTTGTCTTCATGTGTGTCCTGATGGTGTGACACTGTGGGAGTTCTCATATCTATTACTATATGATTGTGGTATGATCTGTGTTAAGGGTGAAAATAAAACCGTCACGTAGCAAAACGTGACCAAAACACAATAAAGCTGACAAACAAAGACAACGCACTGCGCTCATGATAATGGCTTTAGCACATTTATGCTCAGGACATCCACAACTACTTCTGGCTTCTTCCAGAAATCCACATACAGTATATCACGACCTGTGACCTTCTCAACCCTTCAAACTAGGGGTTCATTCCAAAATCATTCACTCTGTTCAGGATTCTCTGATGAAAAGAGAAAAACCAACATACTTTTGTATCCACCATTGCCTACGGTGAAATTCCTGCATTTTCCTTCTAAATGAAAATACTTACATACTTGGAATAAAGGTTTATTAACAGTAGTTAAACCTTCATTTCTTAAAAAAGACAAGGAATTCCAGTGACAATGGACGACAATATATTATTTTTTCTGCTTTTTGCTGAGTCTTAACGCCTCCTTCCCCCTTTCCCTCACCTCTCTCTGTTTTGTCTTAGGCTGCCAATCAGAGATGGGTGAATCAATCATTACAAACATTAGAAATGGAAAGTACAAACACAATGGTTTGTTGCTGCAGACTTCTTATTTATCTGGCTGGAGAGAACGTAAGGAAACATACGTTTGTAAACCACTCACCGTCATCCAGACTAAAGTCTACAGAGGAAATCAGTGACGTTAGCTCATACAGAGACATTAGACTTCTACTTCTGTCTATTGTAGTTTTAGTAATTGTGCAGCTGCCTCTACCTGTTCCAGTCCTCAGCACACAGAGAGCCGACAGAGCTCCGTCAATTTGACGAGTTATGTTACTATTGGTTGAATAAAGTCAAGCGTCCTGCGGGCAGCCATTCTTTATCACATCATTAATTTGATGAAGAATCAGTGTCCCAACTCAAGACGCACAGCATCAGTCACAGCTACCACACAGAGCAACATTTACCTGAGGCCGTCATCTGAGCCAGGAAGAACAGGAAGAGAGAGGTGGCGTCCACCTGCAGGTGGCCCCACTGGTCATCTCCCACCACTGTGGCACAGGTGGACGTATTATATTTGGCGTGAAGGGAGTCAGACGTGCTTCTGCTGTATTTAAATTTTTCCACCTTATCCAGCTGAGGATGCCAGAGCAGACAGAGACAACACAATGAGAATGACACCAATGAACAAGAGAAACTGAAATGCAGCAAATGCTTATTAAGATACAAACTTAAAATCTTTGTGAAACTGAAAATGACAGTTTGGACCGATAAGTTGTCTTTAAATTTTCACAGGTCAACATAATATGAAAAATGGTCACACTTTGTAAAGCTTTAGCTAAGAAAAATGGAAAAATGTGGAAAAAAATATGGCTAAAACTTACTTTATACATAATTTTATATTACTATAAATAATTTTAACAGCCCCTGGCCCAACAACAACATAAAGCTGTTGAGTATAGTTGACAAAAATAAGGGCATTTTTATGTATCTTATTGGTTATATTGTTATAAAGAGTTCCGAACAGCTTTAACATCTGTGCTTTCTACTGCAGCACTTTTCTGACGTTAGACCTGAGGTTTAGCCTTCATCGTACCTGCCTCATCATACACTGGAGGACTCCTCTCATCAACTTCACCACGCTCTACAAACACAGAGAGATCTATGTCAGCTTCTTCATCACATCGTTGGGGGGAACCTGAGAGACTTCATCAGCACAAACACAGAAGGTCCATCTGATCCTTCTGACCTTCAAGACATCACCTTAGTTCTGTTTTTTCTCCAGAGCTTAGCTTTCACACTGACCTGCTCCAGTTCGTACGCCTTGGCCTTATCCTCGTCACGGTCAGCATTCTTTCTGTAGGCCAGACTAAGGGCCCACACTGACAGGATGCTGTACACATTGTCTCTGACCCAGGCATCAGGGTGATCTGGACCTCCAGGGAGGAGACCCGTCACTGGATTCTGTTAAGAATAAAGTTACATCACAACAAGCATGTAGTTCTCAGACTGAGGTCGGGTGTATTCTTCGTCTTACCTCCACAGATTACAGTCTATTTAATTTCTTCTCAAATTTAATCTTTATGGAGTTTGTAAATAAAGACTCAGAAGAAACCAACTTGTCTTGCTGAGATCTGATCCTAAGCCTCTATTCACTTAATAATCCACATAAGTATAGATCAGGAATGTCTTAAGGCAAATACAGTCTTTCTTTGAATCTTGACTGCAAACATTAAACATATAGGTGTTGGAAATTCATTGTTTACTTCAAACATGCATACATGTTCAAGTGTGTGAGTATCCAGGTTGACATAAAAGGCATTCAACTAAATTTGACAACATAAATTATACAGGTATCAGATAATGCTATTAATCGATTAACATTGTACACCGATTCAAATTGTGTATCCTGTCTTCATTCATTTAAACCCGCTCATCTACTTTAATGTTACTTTGAGTGTAGAGTAAAACCAATGTGTTTGCCAACACCAACATGGCGGCGCCGTCGACGCACCGCTGCGTCTGCGTGTAAAACACTACTAAGACACTACTTCTGTAAACACGGGTGGCGGGTACAAACACCATCTTAAGTTAATCTGAACCAATCCTGCCATCATATAAATCCGCACCTGGTGCTTGAGGATAGTTTGATGAATTATCCGGACATAGTTGTCCAGTTTCACGCCAGAGTTGCTGCGACTTCTCATGGTGACAGGCGACCGCTGCACAAACTGCTCAAATATTACTCATTGGCGTCATTTATAGATATAAAAAGTTAAATAGAACAATTAAAAATATAAGAAAAAGTTAACGCAGAGCAACTGGGGTTGAAGAAAAGACAGTTGTTTCCCCTGCTTCACTCAGACTGTTGAAACATGAAGCTGTAGTGAAGTTGCGAACCGCAGCCGGAAACAGTGTAGCAACAGCGTCCTGCCAAAACAAACGTTTCTGACTGGTTGGGCTACATTGTTACATTGCGATGTAGAATCTACGATTAATTGTGCGTCGTAATATTTCAATGTAAAACTGGTGATTTTAATGTACGTGTTGGCATTGAAATGCTTCACATCATTCAACTGTCATTGAGGCACATTACACCCATTTATGTCACAACTGCATTACTTTAGAACGGGTTTACTTGAGGTTCTTCAGTGATTTAGTTCTCTCTTGTGGGCAAATCAAAAAACTGCAACAAAGACTTCACCTAAAGTTCCGATTAAAAGTTATTAGATTTTAACCTTACTTTCTTCACTTATGCTTATGCTCTTCAACTTGAATATATTTGCTTTCGATAGAAGCACTTAATGTGCTATTCGTTGAGTTGACGTTAATGCTATGTTATATATCTCTAATTCTATTTATAAGTTTTAATCTCGCTATAACTGATTCTTGAATTTTAATTAAATTGGTTTGTATGTTAATTAAAATCCTCTGGATTTGTTTTATTTATTTTGAAATTAAGCACATTTTAAACTGTTTTCAATTGGCTGGCGTCGTTTTGTAGTGGCTGCCTTTGTTTAACAGATTGCGACAACGAACAGTCGTCCTAACTCATAAAACCGTCATCTTCAGGAGCTACATACGTTTCATGAACCTCTTTATTGTTATTTGTCAGAAATATCAGAAACTGGGTTTCATATAGTTTTACACATCTATTATAAACTGAATGAATAGATTAAACTATACAAAAACAAGTGATGCGGACTTCGGTGAGGTCTGCAATGTAGTTGCCGTTGTCCACCAGTGGGCAGCAGAAAACGGCGGCTCTCAATAATCGTCACAATAATCAAAAAGGACTTTTTTTCAATGACCGGAAAATAGTAAAGTATTTTCAAATACGATGGACAAATCTAGTTTTTAAATAAGCTACGAATTAAAAAATGTTCATTGTATATTACGTCTAAAGATAATAACGTTTCTGTTAACTTAAAGCTAGTTAACACCCACGATCTTAGGCTTTAGTTTTTGTCATAACTTTTTTTTAGTTGTGATTAGAAATGTCGCTTTTGTTGAGTTTAATTTTATATATAATCTTATATATTATTTTCTCAACTAACGGTCCAACCAGTATTTCTACTCCTGCGGCAACAGCATTAATGTTCGTGTCCTTAAACCGGGCGGTGCCGTTGTAATAAGCGAGCGCCCTCTTTTCTGCGGCGTCCAGAACTGCTCTCTGATTGGCCTGCCTGGATCAAATTTGAGCCAATGAGCACACGGGCAGCACATTTGGATCCGCGAGAAATCAGTTTGTGTTTGAAAAACACACACGGACCTGATCAGGACAAAACCTTGACGGTGGTATTTTGTTAAAAGATAGCGGAGTTCATGTATATTATTAAAAAGTAGAACCGTTTAAAAAAGAAACAAACAACCTCGGTGAAAAGGAAGTGCGTCGTGCAACCTCGTGTTTAAGTGCGAGGGTAAGTGAATCGAGCTCTTTTGTTTTTCTTTTTGTGCATAAGGCGTTAAAATGCATCAAAGCAGATTCTTCTTCCGGTACATTCATTCTCGCGTTTTATTTTACATGCATGCTGTAAAATGCAAATGTTTGTTTCCACAGGTCATAGTTTCGGAGGAAAAAAGGAATTAAATCGAACTAAAGATGCCTGTTCAGAAGAAAAAGAACGTTTCAGTCTCAGCAGCGCAGAGCAGGATCCCGAGTCTCAGATCTGCTGAGAACAAGGTCAGATCATTGTATTTTAACGCCATACAAATACATTGAAAACATTTGGATTTATTCATTGTTATGGTATCTTTAAGTTCAAGTCACAGCAGATTGGTTTCTACACATAACTCCACCCAAATTAGGGTTCAGAGGCATAAACCAAGCCGTATAGTTTACATCGCTAAATGAATGATAAAAAATACGTTATTTAAAAGTGCTTTATTAGTTAAAAAAGGCCTTTCCTCAAAACACTGTTCATTTATATACACACAACAATTAATATTTAGCTAAATAGAAACAAATCCGACCTTTATCTTAAACTGACCTGCTGTTAAACTTCCCAACAGTCAACACATAAAGACCGATAAGGAGAGTAGAGAGGAGTGTCTGAAGGAGGGAGGACAGTGAAAAGCTTAGTGATCAGGAGACGACTTGATAAAGAGACTAATTGAGACTGGAGCTCTGCTCATCTTAAATCACACTTCTCCAAGACACTGTCTGGCAAATCACAACAGAGCAGAATGAGCATGCAGTGGACATTGACTGGTTGTGTGGTGCTGCTGGTTTGAAAGGACAGATGGACACATCACTTATCTCAGGCCAAAAGAGATGTTGACGTTCATGCAGGAGAAGAGAAGTAAAAAAGACATGGAGCCAAGGTGGGAGGATGGTCAGTTTGAAGAATTCACTGACCAACAGCTTCCTGAGCCAGAACATGGAGGAAATGCAGAGAAAACGGTGGAAATCGCTGTGCGTCTTTCACCCAAACAGCTGGTGTTTGTGTGTGGTACCAGTGCTCCATAAAATGGTTGAGGATCATTAGGAAGAGGAAACGGTGATCGTGACGACTCTGAAATAGACGATGCTGTGCAAATTCTTCATAACCAACATTTGCAATTATTTTATTGTTTATTAATAAATCAGTCAATACGTGTAATTAATATTATCAATAACGTCTACAACCACGAAGGAAACAGCAGTAACGATGTTCATTCATTAGGGGGCGCGCTCACAGTGTCTGCACCTTTATGTAGCACAGTTTGACAGTGTGAAACACAAAATCAATGTGTGTGTTTGTGTGTTGCCAGGTTGAAGGTCCTCAGGTGAAGCGCTCGTCGTCGCCACCTCATGGAGCTCCAAAAAAGAGGACGGCTTTTATCGACATCACCAATGTGAGGCTTTCGTTTGTGCGTGTGTCCGTGCGTGTTTAATCTTGACACAGAGAAAAATCAACTTTGTAAAATGAACTGTTTTGAGAGACAAATAGACAAACTCGAATAGAAGAATGTCTAAAAATAACTTTAGTAACAACTGAATTGAAGACAAATACTTGAGTTTTTCCCAACATTGTTGGTAAAATGTCTCCTACTTTTTTCATAAATCTTCAGGACTTCACTCTTCAAGTTTTTGGTTTTGTTTTTTCCAGGCTCATAAAGTCGGGTTCAACTTTCCAGGCAGAAAGAAGAAAAAGGAGGTGGTGAAAAAGATTAGCTCCTCTTCATCCTCCTCTTCCTCATCGTCTGTAAAGAGACACAACAACCCCAAAACGTAAAGACATATCGTGTTGTTTGTTCATTTCTCTTGTTTTTCTATTTTATTTTATTTTCATTTCTTGCTTCATAGGTCGTCTGTGAGCTCAGAGAAGGAGAAGAGTGATGAGGAGGAGACGCCAGAGGTAGCAGCAGCGCCAGTAGAAGAGCTGGAAGTTGCTGCGCCCTCTGCTGTTAAACTTGTGCCATCACATCTTATCAGACAGGAAGTAAGAATTGTTTTAAACTTTTTTGTAATTTATCAGTCAGTGAATTTTTTTTTTTTTTTTTTTAGATGAATGAAAACTTTTTTTTTCTGTAGATTCCAGTGGAGTTTGACATTGACTCTGAAAACTCGGACGACATCTTCATGTGTCCCGAATACGCCAAGGACATCTTCGACTACCTCAAACGTAGAGAGGTGATTTACTTTTTCTTTTTCTTTTCGAATCGAAACTTATTTTCATGTTCTCATTTTCTCCTTGTTCTTTCCTCAGGAAAAGTTTGTCCTTGACAACTACATGCACAAACAGCCCACTCTCAGCACAGAGATGAGGGCCATCCTCGTTGACTGGCTGGTGGAGGTTCAGGTTAGTTCAGTTCAGTTAATGTTCATACAAGTTGGTAGTGTTTCCACTACACCTAACTATGTGTGACCTAACATGTTACTGACCTGACATGTTACTTTACCTTATGTTTCCCCATTGGTTGCTGCTGCTCCTCCTGCAGGAGAACTTTGAGCTGTACCATGAGACCCTCTACCTGGCTGTGAAGCTGACAGATCAGTATCTGTCCCAGACTGTGATCCAAAGAGAGATGCTGCAGCTACTGGGCTCCACCTGCATGCTCATTGCCTCCAAACTAGAGGTGGGTGAAGCCTCCAGCGTCCAGAGTCAGACTGAAGGTCTTGAAAACATGACCACACAGTGTTTATGGACCACACCGTTATTGGTGAAGTTTGACATCCTGCTGGATCAGATTGTCCTTACAAACATCTTAACACCTAGCTAATAACTAACTTAACTAATCCATGGTCATGTGACTGTTGTGGTAGGAACGCAGCCCACCATGTGTTGATGACTTCCTGTATATCTGTGACGACGCATACAAGAAGGAGGAGTTAATCACCATGGAGTGCAACATCCTGCAGACGTTGTCCTTTGACATTAACATTCCCATTCCATACCGGTTCCTGCGGCGCTATGCTAAGGTGTGTGTGTGTTCTACACGCTGGGTTGTAATTCACGTTAAATCAGTAACTTAAGCGATGGTTCTTATGTGCTTGTGTTGTTTTGGTGCAGTGTGTAAATGCAGGTATGGACACACTGACTCTGGCTCGGTTCTACTGTGAGCTCAGTCTGCTGGACATGGACCTGGTTACAGAGAGGGGTTCTGCACTGGCATCAGCCTGCCTGCTGATGGCGCTGCTCAGCAAAGACCTAGGAGGATGGGTGTGTTTGATTTATTTGCTCAACCAGTTATGAAACAAAAGGCTCTAAAAATCATGATAGATGTACATATTTGTTTTTATATTATAGTTCTTTATTTTTTCTCAGAAAAATATTTTCTTATAAGTAGTGGCAGCTGTCACTGAGTGCCCACAGTGAGGCATGCTGGGTCATTGTCTTGTCTCTGCTCAACCTCGGGGCCAGTGTTCGACAAACCACATGCTTTCAAACACAGCTGTGATAATAATCATACTAACATTTACTCTCTCCTCCTATTTCTCCTCCTCATCCTGGACCAGTCTCCCATTCTACAGTTCCACTCTGGATACCAGCTGTCAGACCTGGCTCCTGTAGTGAGGAAACTTTACATCACACTCTCAGCTCCTCCTGACGAAAAGCTCAAGGCTGTCCGAAACAAATATTCTCACAAGTAAGATTTTAATCTCTGAACTTAAACAGGTGTTAAACATAATAATAATAATAAACATGTTATTCATGTATGCCTGAAAGGTTGGAACAGGTCCTTTAATTTGGGCTACATTTTCAATTTCCATTGTGATCATTATGATGTAGATGTTAAAACAAAAGTCGTTAAAAAGATATAGCAGTAAAGTGAGACTGGAATAGTTAAGGCTCCAGAAGTCAGTATTTTGGTGACAGAAAAACTGGTGTGTTTTTCAGGGTATTCTTTGAAGTGGCCTCTCTACCATTGATGAAGCTGGACGTTCTGGAAAAGGCTTTACGTCAGTGAAAAGATGGCTCAGCAGAGAAGTCTGTAAATAGTTTTGTTGATATGTTAAATATTTATTTCCTTTGTCCAGTTAATTCATTTTTATTCATATTTGAAATAAATGTTTTTTTTATTGTTTTAACTCCATGATGATTATCTTTCCTGCTGCATTTATACGATAAAAAAACGTTAAAAGAATCTGAGCTTTGGAAAAGGCTTCATGTGAAGTGTCTTTTAGATGAATCCCGTGTTTATCATGTTCGTCGCCTGTACAAAATTATGATCTTTTACACAAGGGGCTTTGATTCAAAGTCAAAATAAAAATGTTTTTCTAAACCTCTTTGTTAAAAGTCGATTTATTGTTTTACGTGTTTTAAGTTCTTATGAGAGAATTGGCCAATGTCCACAGTCATCCTGAGTCAGGACGATTCAAACCATCAGTGTTTTTGAAATTGAACTGTCCACGTGTTAGTTCATTTCATTTGATTTGCAAAAAGGTAAAAAGATCTTTGGATTTGAACACGAGATGCACAGAGTGGTTCACACACACGACTACTAACAGCACTAGTTAGGAGGTTTACAGCTGCTGTCATTTGAGTAGATTAAAAGTACAGTACTCTCCCTTTAATTATTATTTATTATTATTTTATATTAATATTTGTTTAATCATAATCTGTCTTTGATGTTTAGATGGAGGGATTATGAATAATTAATTTGTAGTATATTTCTCAGGGGCTGGACCAAATTAATTGTTTTTTAGTTATTTTTAACGAAAATTCTATCGAGATATGAGTGGATCGACACAAGTGCTGCTGTGGAACGGATTAAACTCTTAGCCCCACTGTATATGCACAGTATATAGTAGCAAAGATAAACGTATTATGTGGAGTATATGATTTATATAAGAGAAAGTGAATTATTTGTCATTGTGACACACACACACACACACAAGGGATAAAGTTGATGAGCCACACAATGAAGATTTGGGAAACAGTGGTTGAAGCTAGGTTGAGGCAGGAAGTGGAGATTTGTGAACAACAGTATGGTTTCATGCCTAGGAAGAGTACCACAGATGCAATATTTGCCTTGAGGATGTTGATGGAGAAGTACAGAGAAGGTCAGAAGGAGCTACATTGTGTATTTGTAGAT